TTCCTGCTGTCTTGGAGGTCGCTTGCAGAATCTGAATTCATATAATGCAGCAAAAGCAGGCTCATGCCCAGCTCCAAAGCTCGATACTCTGAGCACTTTAAAATTCAGACTCTGTTACTCTGAGTGATTAGAGTCTCTTTATGCAGCTTATACATCTCTAGGTGACTACGGAAAAGTCTAAAGTTATTGAAGAATATGGATTTCTGCTTTAAAACTCCACCATCTTTTTTTGATGTCAATGATATTTAGTGTTTATGACACATAAAGAACAAATGATTGGTATAAAAATTGACTGTCCTCAAGAGTGAGAAAAGAAATGCCAGAGAAAGAAATTAATAATAATTCATTGAGTTCAAAGAAAAACATTACAGAGTTTAAAATGAAATTCCCATCCAACAGTAAGTATGCTGTTGACTACTTAAATTACAGGGAATGATATATGTAAGACTTGGCGTTATGCTTTTATTGTTATTATTCACTCTCAGGAAAAATTGTTACAAATAAAAGAAAATTATACAATTGGATAAACTTTATTAATTGATTGAGTGATCTGAGAAACCATCTTTAAATTGTGACTTTCCATAATGATTTCTCTCTTTGTAAGACTTCGTAAGACTTCTCTGCAATGATTTTCATGAGTTTGGCACCAAGTTTTTGGATCTTTCATGTGCCAATGTACTTTGTAAAGTTGTAATGTGCAAACAATAGAGAAAAACTAGAAAGTAAAACTATCTCGAAAATAGAAGCCAGAAATAACTATTGCAAAATCAGTTCAGCACTGTGCAAAAACTAAGAAACAGAATAGGTGAAACAATACAAATTCTCTTTACTATTCAGGCTCAGAAAGGAAAATAAATATTTGAAATAGAATACAAAAATACCTGGGAAAGAAAATTTAAACAAACAGATAACCCATAACCTTTTTTATGTACTTGAGATCAAACTGCTATTGGCAGAAATTTTGCTTTGTTGTGATGTATAAAAAAAATTTCTACATTGATAGTGAACTTTAAATTCATGCTCACTTTATAACGAAGTGTCCATGAGCAGTGGTACACATGGAACTTCACTTCCTTTGGCACAGTGTTCCTCATGCCCGGCACATCTGTAGAGCCCCCCAGCTTATGTCCCTACTGTCCTTCAAACCCTATTGATTCCCATAAGCTTTCCTAGCTATCTGAGATTTTCAACCCTAACTCTGTTGAGCTAGGCTGAAAATGGCTCATAAGATCAGAACCAGAGCATGCTGATAAGCAGGCAGTATGGTTCCATGAGCCTTACTTCCTTAGGAAATCTGTCTACAACAAAATTAGGTTCAGTGTACAGAAAGGTGCTGTGTATGTATGTCTGTATGTATGGTCAGGCAATGGCACTGGCAGATTCTTTCATCCTTTCACATGCTTTTGTGTTTACTGCAGGGCTTCTTCCGAAGAACAATCAGATTAAAGCTAATTTATGACAGGTGCGATCTTAACTGCCGCATCCATAAGAAAAGCAGAAATAAATGTCAATACTGCAGATTTCAGAAGTGCCTCGCCGTTGGAATGTCACATAATGGTAAGCGGGCTTAGCATATTTTAAAACGATGATATTTCATCTGAAAAATAGCATGAAACATTAATGTGATTCCTGAATGTGCTGCTTTAACTTCTAGAGTCTTCTCTTTCTGTCACACTGGGCACTTTAGAATTAGAGGTTGCCTCTGAGTTTAGCAGACTATGTAGATAATTGGAGATGACTTTCAGTATGAAAATCAGGTAGAGATCTGCACTTATTGATACAATATTTATTATAACATATGGGTTTGTTTTACTCTCCATCATTCTTGCTCATTACACTGTTGGTTGTTCTTCCTGAACATATTCCTAGTGTGATTGTTATTTTTCAGTTCATTGTCTTATTTTCTGGCAAGACTCTCTTGCGTACTGTAGCTCAATATCCCTTTCCTGTAAGTGGACGACTTAATTTAATTATGAAAAATGAACTAGAGAATTTACGGAAAGCTTTTGAATAATAACGACTCGAATCTGATGCATAGAACATTTACTTACTGAGGACTGTTGGCATCGCTCAGTTAACACTTGCTCATACTAGAACACAACAGACTTTGAATGAATGGGCCAGACCCTGTACTGTTTTAAAAAAACCTGTCCTCCTCCTTCCTAGGACACCCACATCTGGGCATAGATTCCAATGTGTGGTAAGTAGGAGTGTAGAGTTTCTTAGCATGCTCGTTCAGCCGTCGGCCTCTCATCACATAGTGTGTATAGCTGTGGTTCCTGTGTAACATGCACTGTCTGACCCCTCTGCCATCCAGAGGGGAACATCCCCTTCCATCTGTCAGCTCTATGCAGCGTTTTTACATTTTACATTTACAATATGTCGTAGTCTGAGATAGCAAAGGTGTTTGCAACTGTGTACGGTTCTGATTGCCTTCTTTGCAGTAGGTAAGCAGATAGCATTACGCATATCACGATACTGCTCGCTTGCATAGTAATTAGAAGAAAGTTCCTCTGAACTTTAAAATGAACGTATCAATTAATGTGGAAATACTTTTGAATGTGGACAGAAACACATAATGAAGATTCTTTGCTGCCTTGCTTTGGCAAAGTTGAGTGAAAACAGGAATTAAATGTCATAACATAGAGACTTATGTAATTCGAAGGGTAAAGAATTGCAAACATGACTGGGAAAATAATTTCTCTGCGGGTTTTTTTAGAACTTTCATTATTTTCAATATTAAAATAAAGTGTACTGTCCCCAAGAGGAAAGCTTAACTGTGGGTTGTGAAGTTAATACATGCAGTGAATGTAAATTGGTATGGGAAATGTTCTGCTAATAGAAAATATGGTTTTCAAGTTCCTGGGATGCAACGGTAACACTTAAAAATAAATCTAATTTTGAAATGCTACTGTGGGTATTTTTATAGCAATTCAGGAGGCTTTCTGATGATTATTTTCAAGGTGTATGCCAAATTCTCTCATAACCTAGCAAGACGGCTTCCAATTATGTCAATGGGAACCATGTGCAGTTCTATCAACAAGGGGAAGGCCAAGACGGTTCTCTGGCTTAGTAACATAAAGGGCCCATTTTTAAAACTTGTCATTCTTTTCTGTTCAGGCAAAAGCTGTGGTACCAGCAGGGACCAGGGTTATGGCAGTCAGGGGGAGGCACAGAGAGGAGAGGGCAAGGGCAAAGCCATCTTTCCCAAGGCTTGAAGGACCACTTTCATCTGCTCTCACTGTGAGTTCCCTGACAGGCAGGCAGTAGGGTTTATATTCAGGTATTGGCTTCTACATTCGCCTTTTTTGCCCACTCTGGTTACATTACATTGCATGGAACAATGCCCTCATTCCTCCATCATTTATAAACAACAAATTCATTAAAAAAGAACTACATTTTGCCTTTGAAGACGCAGGCTTGTATAAAGAAGCATGCTGAAATGCAACACTGGATGTTGTCAATGACACTGAGGCTCACTTTTATGTTACATCTACAGTTTAAAGATCATCCATTTGGGTAGTGAAATGATCTGAATTTTAAATGCTTGGAATCAGAATGTGGATTATTTGTGCCGGAGGGTCCAGCCTATGGCTGTCTTTGCATAGATACATTATTGTCAAAAGAAGAGGGTGTTTAGAAAAACGGGGAATGCAAGGAGATGCTTAGCAGCAACAGCCACATTTTTTCACATATAAATGCTACATACCACTTGGCTGAAGGTTAAAAAAGACAGTAGTGTTCTCATACTTCGAATATTGTTTTCCTTTCCTTCTCTAGCCACAGCACTGCTCTGTGTTTAACCCTTACTTGCTCAGATTGTATTCTGAAGTGCTACCAAGCAGAAGCGTGGTTCCTTTATTTTAGAAATGTCATTATTTTTTTCTCTCTTTCTAAAAGTACTATTTACAGAAAAGCAACTACTGTAATGGGAATAAAAGCATACATGGCAATATTTATTAACAGTTCTGAGAGCAGTGAATTGCTCAGTCTGGGCCCGTGCCTCAGACAGGTATCCACCCTAGCTTTATCTTGTGTTTTCTAGTGTAAGAGACTGTGCTTAGAGACTATTTAGGGATTCATTTATGCTCAGAAATAATCTAGACAGGCAAAAGAGTAGGGTTGTATGCAGAATAGTCTATAAGCAATCACAGTGACTTCTCCAAGTCATAAAATGTGGCATAAGGAGAAATATTCTCTTTTTCCCCACAGAAAGGCAAAGGATACAATGCAGCATGTAGCGTCTTACTATAGTCACTGTTGGGTTTATATCACTGACATTTGGAGAATACTGTAAATGAAAGTAAAATAAATAACTGCCAAAGGAAAGAGAGATCATACATTCCCACTGCAGGCACATGCCCCAACTTGCACAATCTTCTACCACTGTGAAAGAAATTGCCATCTGAACCCCTTCCACCCTTGCAGCCTGAGCTGCAAGCCATATTTCCAGATCTAGGCTTGTCCCTGCCCTTCCTGCCCCTATGGATCCTGCTGTGAGCCACCTCCTGGGAGGTAAGGAGTCTGGGCCTGCTGGGAGGGCAGATGAAGGAGGGAGAAGATAGGGGTACAAGGAGGGTAGGGG